AGGTAAATGGATAGAGCAAACAGAGCAGAAGAACAAAGCTTTAAGAAAGGTATAAGACAAAACACGATTAGAATAAAATCAACATATCATATACTAAAGAAACAAAATCATATCATAAACTTTAATGATAAATAGGATAATTCCTTCAAAACAGCGTTTATCATAAACATTAACGATAAATAAAATATTTTCTTCAAAACAATTAACAAACATATTCAAGAATATAATAATACATACCTGAAACGAAGAAAGGCAATCTATATAATAGACAGAGCACAACAACTAAAGTCTGAGTTTTGATGAGGAACATGAAAAGAGAAAAAGTAACAGAAGATATAAGTTAACAGTGAGAAAACGAAAAGAAAAACAATGTGAAAAATGGTGGTAATAAAAAAAATAACAGGGTTTATATACACAAAGAGGAAACTTCTGGTTATTATCCGATAACAAATCTAAAAAAGAAAAACTAGCAGGTGAAATAACTGATTAACAACAGGTGTAAGAAAGCATGTAAACCACAGAAAAAATAATCCAATAATAAAGAGACACAAATAATTAAGAAACCTATTACACAGATTTAAAACGCAATAAAATTACCAAAAGAAGAAAAAGATGGTGAATATCGGATAACAAAACCAACACATAAATATCAACAGATATAATGATTAGTTAACAACATGACAACAATGCATATAAAAAATAAAAACGAAAGTAATAAAAAAACGGAAACATTTCTGAAAATAGAAAAACACGACCAATATTAAAGAGACACAGAAAACAACATTGAAACAAATAGGAAAAGGAAAAAAAATCTGAAACAAAAAAAAAGTAAGAAAAAAATTTAACAACAGAACAAAAAAAACACCTAAAACAATTAAAAAACCTCTAAAACATCTTAAACATCAACGGGGAAAATGACTAAAAAAATAAATCTTTTAAAAGCATCTTTAAAAAAATTTCTTAAAAAGAAACCCTAAAATACATTCTAAGTGAAAAAAATTATTTTTAAACAAAAACAATTGAAAAATTATTTCTAGACATCTACAAAATAAATAATGAACAGATGTAATGATTAGTTAACAACATGTGCAACAATGCATCTAAATAATAGAGAAACGAAAGTAATAAAAAAAAGAGAAACATTTCTAAAAATAGAAAAACACAACCAATGTTAAAGAGATACAGAAAACAACATTGAAACAAATCGGAAAAGGAAAAAAATATCAAAAACAAAAAAAAAGGAAGAAAAAAATTAACAACATAACAAAAAAAAAGACCTAAAACAATTTAAAAAAACCCCTGAAACATCTAAACATCAACAGTGAAAACGACTAAAAAACTAAAAACAAAATAAATCTTCTAAAAGCCTCTTTAAAAAAAATTTCTGAAGAAGAAACCCTAAAATACATTCAAAGTGAAAAAAATTAATTTTAAACAAAAACAATTGAAAATTTCTTTCTAAACATCTACAAAATAAATAGATCAACAAAACAAAATGAAAAAAAATCTAACGAAACCCTAATTTACAAACATAAGAAAAAAAAGGGGAACGAACAAAAACCGAAATAGCAGAGTCTAAAAAACCCAAAAAAAGGAAAAATTCCAAGCCCTGATAAAACCGAAGTCAGACGACTGAAGATGAAGAAGGGAAAAAAAATTTCTTCTGGAAATGAAGATAAACCTCTCCCTCTCTAGATAGAACCCCACCCAAAAAACGCAAGAAGCACAAATGCAAAGCATAAGAAACCCAAACGAAAAGACAAAGAAAAAATGGAGAGAAGAAGAAGACGAAAAGCATATATTCAGATTAAAAAAAGCTTAGAACTCTGAAGATCCATTAACACGTGAAAAAAGCTACAGACAAAGAGGAGAAAAGAAGCTTCACGGAAAGGATGAGAGAGAGAAGAAAAGAAACAAAAAAATTGTCCAGAAGAAATGAAGGTAGAAGCTTCGAGGAATAGCAAAAATCATTATAGTACTAATTTGAGTCAAAAGTACGAGAATACCCAAACAAAAAACAAACAACGAAGGATAAAACGGTAAAGACACATATTTAGGACACAGCCGGAATTTGTCCAAATAAGAAAATTACGAAAATACCCAAACAAAAAACAAAGTAAAAACAAAGAACAAAAGATAAAACGGTAAAGACACACATTTAGGACACAACCGAAATTTTTTCAAAGAAGAAGGAGAAAAATGACCGGTCACTATACTTAGTACAGTAATCGGGTGCCTCCTTGAGTAATAGGTATAATGTATAATTATTTAACTCACGTGTGGTTGGCCATTTGCCTTGACAAATCTCCGCCATATGCCTTGACAAATCTCCGCCTCCGCCATATGCCTTGACAAATCACCGCCCTATGCCATCACAGTGACATCAGTTTCTAGATATTATTGAAATTTCAAGTAGTTGGCTGGTCCATTCTATTGTCGTATACCTATTCAATGCTTATTCCACTAACAGCATTTAGAACATCTCCAAACAACTATAAAAGCCACTGGTAGAGCCCTCACTCAAATTTTTTTAAACAATTTTAAAATTTTATATTTAAGTTTTATTGAAATAATATATCTCTATTAAAATAAATATTTTTTTTATATATTTCTATTAAGATAATTTACTAAAAAAATTTAATGTACACTCTTATTTAAATGAAAGGCAGGTTCTGCTATTAACTATAATTAATGTGTCAATAATAAATTTAATATATGAGTATGAACACAACGTATCATAATATATTGAAGGGTATACTTTACTCTTAAAATGTTAAATTTATCATTAACATGTTATTTAAAGCATTGCATTAGAGATCCTTTTTACATATTTATTGTTAGAGCAAGCCTACTAAATGCTAAGATTTGATGACGTTTTATTGTTATGTGATTCCCAACGCCCCACCTTTTTCTAAAATATGAAACACCAGACATGGAAATAGACGAAAAGCTATCTAGAAAGTCATGTGAATTGTACACGGACAACCGATTTCCAACCAAGTTGTTATCACTTTTGGTTGTTGTAGTGTACATACATCTTCTGGAATGAAGAAAAACTTTACAAGAAAATTAACCTCATAACACGTCAGAAAAAAAAAAAAATTGAATACATGTATGCTTTAGTTTGGTCTACCCTAAGCTACTACTAGTGATCATCTGTAAATTGCCAAACTTTAAATCAAATTTTATTGGATGCGCATATCTTTTGTACTATACTTGCTTACGAAATGATCCAACGTAATTATTCAAAAATAATAATAATAATAATCTAACGGAAAAATATAAACGAAATACTTAATACTAGTATTTCCCTATCATAAAACTTCTTAAGAAAAAAATGTTCTTATTGGTACTAAGAACCACAATATAATTGACTCATTTCTTTTTTTTTTTAACTTAGAGTAGGGTTATTCAACCTTTATATCTTGTGATGTGATTAAGTGTCGCATTATTGTTAGATTATGTTTTTCATATCAATGGTTGAACTTGAAACATGCCTACCTACTTCTGCATCAGAAGAACAAAACAGAAAATCATATGTCATATGATGAAAAACAATTCATCATCACATGCTGCATAATTAAAAAAAAAATGCTTTAAAATTATTTGGCGCAATACCCCTTGTTTCCCATAAAGCTAATTCCAATGAGCACTAATATCTCTGTGCACGAAGTATTCTCTATAAAAAAGGGCACTAAAGAGACTAGTTCTGTTCTTAATCTTCCTTTCATCAATACAAGCTTAGAAAAGTATGGACAAAAAAGTACTGTACGGTACTTTTGGGCATAGTCTAGGTCTAGCGGCCATTAGTCAAAGTCTTCCACCCAGTTGTAGACTTCACGTTTTGGTGATCTTTCCTTGATAAAATGAATTTATCTTTTTTGGTCTTCGTTCAATACAGGCGTCTAATTGCCCAACTTTTCTAGCAGAGCTCCTTCCTGGAAACAATTTCTCATTCACTTTGGTCATTCGAGTTTAGAATTTGAGTTAAGATGTGATTTTACGTGAGAACTTTTTACTGTAATAAAAAAATTAAATGTAATTATTTATGAGAGTTTTTTACTGTACAAAAACTTAAATTCTAAACTCGAATCAGCGAAATGAACGGGACCTTTGATTATTCCAATCTTCCCGTCATATTCAAATACATGTCATATCTGTCTTGTTACCTTTGATAACAACTCCAAAATTCACAGAAATACTTAGGTCCCGTTTTTTTCGCTGATTCGAGTTTAGAATTCGAGTTTTGTTACAGTAAAAAGCTCTTAGAAATAGTCACATCTAACTTTTTTGTTACAGTAAAAAGCTCTCACACAACATCACATCTCAATTTGAATTAAAAATTAAATTAGCGAACCGAACGGATCCTTAATTAATGATTAACTTGTAATGTTTTGGTTTCTTGCCGTAAAAACCTAGAAGTTCAAAGTATACGCAAAGATATTGAGCAAATTAAATAAAAGCAGTAAAGAACTAATTAAACAAACATGGGTTTGGTTTGGATCTTGTGAGGAAGTAGAATTAAAACAAATTATTTTCTTTTAAAAAAAAAGGAAAAAAAAAAAGTCAACCAGTTGGTTGTCGAGCAGGCTTATCTGAATTAGATCAATTTGGATTCTCTCTAATTCAGAGGGTAGAAAAATGTGTACGAGGATCGTTTCTTCAAGCAATAAATGAATATCTAATACTAGTATACTACATGTAATTTTTGAATGGTTTGCTTTATACATCATTAAGTCTCCGTTGACCATTATTATCTGTAGGTCCACTATCAGAAAAGTGGTGCCATTTGTGTTCCTCCAATCATCATCACAAAAGAGCTCAAAATTTTCTCAATAAGTTGGCAACTTTGCCGTTGGTTTTCCCACCAAATCCATAGCCTGATTGTGAAAAACATTAGACACAAGACATCTCCCAAAATGAGTCAGCTGAAACAGAACTGAAAAACCAAAAACCCAAAACCCAAAAAAAAAAACCAGAAACCTCCCAATCTCTTCAAAATGACTAAAACAAACCAGAAATATCTCACAATCCCATTTCACATCTTTATCTTCCTCATCTTTCTCAGCCATGGAGTGCTCTCCCAAACACTCCAGGAACAAGAACAATCAGTCCTTTTGAAGCTAAAGCAGCACTGGGGAAACATTTCCTTCATGGATGAGTGGACCCCATCAGACAATTCTCATTGTTCTTGGCCTGGAATCACCTGCACGTCCAATTCCGTCAAAGGGCTGTCACTCTACAATGTGAATATCACTGGACCCGTTCCATCCTTCATATGTGACTTGAAGAATGTCACAACCATTAATCTTGGGGATAACTATATCCCAGGAGAGTTTCCAAGAGCTGTTTTCAACTGTTCAAAGCTCGAAGCTTTGGACCTCTCTGAAAACTACTTTGTTGGAACGCTTCCCGATGACATTGACAAACTGGCTAAGCTCCAAAGTCTAGTCCTCGGAGGTAATAACTTCACTGGTGATATCCCACCTGTTATTGGGAAGCTGCAAGAGCTTAAGGTCCTGGGTTTAGGAGGCAATCTGTTTAATGGCTCGTTACCACCAGAAATTGGTGACTTGTCAAATCTTGAAGATTTGTGGTTGGCCAATAATAATCAGCTTGTCCCTTCAAGGCTGCCTTCCAATTACACCCAGTTGAGGAAGTTGAAAA